CACGGCCTTCATCAGGTCACTATCCGCCTCTTCTAGCTCAACCCCCTTGCTCTCCAACTGGGCCTGCCCCTGTTCAAGCCCCTCGCGAGACGCTTGGAACTCGGGGTCCTGCTGATGGGGGTCGACCACCGCTCGGTGCTTAGAGCGATATTTTCGATACTTCTTCAGCATCTTTTTGTAGAGGGCCGTCCTTTTTGGCTCACGGCGTCCCCTCTCCACCTCCAAAACAAGGGTCTAAAAAGAAAAGCAGAAATAAGCACGCCTCAGGTCAGTCTTACAATACGCAGAGAGAGAAAGGGGATAAAGATTACCTGTAAAGCCATGCCAGCAACCCTTCATGACAGCTCCGCATCTTTCACAGTACTGAGCGTCTTGCTCTCAGGGGCGGCACATAGCAGGGTAAGGGCCGAAGTAGCCTGCTCACTGTTCAGCAACAAGTTATAAGCCCCCGGAATAATAATACGACGGTCGAACCCATCCGTCGTCATCTCCACATGGGTGAGACCACCCACAAACTCATCAACATCCTCTTGGGCAATGTCAGAGTCCGACTTCTCGGCTTCCTCGCCAGGTCCTTCGACGTTGGTCGATGACCCCCCCTCAACGGCACGCACGGAACTAGTATCGGGAGCGACATCCCTCTGTTGAGCCGACCTCCCAGATAGAATGGCGTCGGCCATAAATGCAGGTATGTGCGTCGTTAGAAGTGCCCCACTTCCTCCGGCCTCGGTGGCCACCCCTTGCCCTTCTCAAGCCTTCTCCGTTTCCTTTCTAACGATTCCTCTCCATTGGAAGACTCGTCCTCGGGTTGCAGGACCGGTGCCAACGATGTCGACTTCCCCATGACCATGGTCGCAGACGTAGCCCCCTGTAAAGGAGCTGGAGGGAGACCCTCTTGGACAGACTCGATTAATATATCATGAGCATCCGAGGCAACGTCGGATCGCTTGAGAGTAGGGACTGGCGCCCTCTTCCTAGAAGCACCTCGACCTGTTGCCATAAAAAAACGTAAATAAGGTTGCAAAATTTACAAAATAAAAATTAGAAACCTACCTGAAGGGACTTTGGGGCCATAGCGCTGCATGAAGGCAGGTCACGTACGGGTCTCTTCCGCATGGGGAAGCAAGCCGGTAACCCATCTCCTGAGATTGGGGACAGGCTAGGGAGGACGAGCCATGGCTGCAATACAAAAGTTAGGATCGCAACAGTAACAAGTAACAAGGAACTTAACAAACTGCAATACTCACGTTTCGAATTCCACCTCTCTAGGAATCCGGCCAGGTTAGAGACCACATGCTCGGTCCTAATGAAGAAATATTTACGCCAGAATCCGCGACTCGCTCGGTCGTCGGTTTTGACCACCAATCCTTTCGTACCGCGGCTTCTTAAATGCACCATGGTACCTCTCAGATAACCAGCACTGAACAATTGTAAGAGGTAATGAATCGTGACCTCACATCCGACCAACTCCGCGTACTTGGTCAGTAGCCGAAGCACCTTCAGGGTATACGGCGTAAATTGAATCGTACACACGTTATAGAATCGGCAAAGTTCCTCCGCCAAAGAAAAAGAGGAAGGCCATAACCAATCAAAAAGGGGTATTTATAAAAGGCACAGTACCCTGGCCTGTGAACATCTACGTGATCTCTCCCCGCTGGAACCATCTCTATGTGGGCAGGTATGCCGTACTTCATACGGAGATCGTCTAAGTGGTTTTGCAGTGACTCGGAAAGCACCGGAGTCGGAGTAGGAGAGTCCTTGCTGAAATCGCTTCGAGACGAAGGATGCTTTGGCAGTAGCGCTTCCACCGTAAGAGGACTGATGTCCTCTTCTTCCTCCGCCTCTCCACCATCGGAAGGCGGTGGCACGTTCGATGGAGCGACCGCCGAGATTCTCTCGTCGTATCGGCGAGGTTTAGGCATGATTTCGGTTGAGAAAGAGTTTCACATAGCACAACAGAGAAGAAGGAAATTTTCGATCGAAGGAAAAAGTACCAGAATGCAAAAATGTACACTGAAGGGTTGGAATACTCTTACAAATGGCCAAAGTTCGAATCAGATTAAATCTTTCCCCTATTTATAGGATTGGGTGGCGCCAAAATTGAAGAGGCATGGCTTCGAGTCAGCGCGGGAAACCAAGCGCCAAAAGCATCTGATTTCCTGCCTCGAGAATACGCGCAATGATGACGCACGCGAACACTGACGTCATATAGAGAAAGGCGTTTCGTTTCGACGCTCTGACAGTCATGATTACTGCCTCCTACCTGTCACGTCACAATCCATTGACAAAGTCAAACTCTCCCTGAACGGAGGCACCGGTTCCGCCCATCAAGGACGCATCTCGCTGCGACCCCGACGAGCGGAGGGACTAACTGTATGGGGTCGAATTTGACCGATAGCATCCCTAAGTCAGCATGACCATCCGCCGAACATATGTGAGTCCCGACAGAGGGACGACTTAGGAAGTACGGGAGAAATGACTCACAACCTCGTCGTCCCCTCTATAGAATGTACTTTGGTTTTACCTTTTAATATTTAAATAAGGATCCCCTACTATATAAAGGGGATCCGAGTTCTGTAAAAGGAGGATTCATAAAAACTTCTCTCTTGCTCTCTTATCTCTCTAAAATTATCTCTTTTCCTCTCTCTCATATATAATATTGTTGCAAGAACCGATTATCAAGATCATCCTAGGGTTTATTATTTTCGATTACGATTTACCCCTTCATTTATTTTTGATTGATTTGCTTAAAAAGTGTTTAACAACTTTTGAGTCAAACAGAGCCAACGATCAAGCTCCGATTATGAGAAACCTTAAGTGATCTTCTTTTCTTCTTGAGCATCGACAAAAAATAGAGTAAGACAGTTAAAAAACCTTCAAATCTGATCGTAAAAATGCTCCGAGGACTCTAAGTCTGGGCAGAAAATTACTCAGGCGGCCTTTCATTTGTTTATTCTATCTCCTCCGAGGAATCCGGAATGAAAAAATACAGCGAAAGAGAAATAAAAAGGGTGTAATTAAAATCTTCAATTTAAAGCGCTAATCCCTGAATTAAAGGCGCTTAATTGGTCCCTTAATGGAATGTATATAAATTGTAAAGAATATATTGTTACCTTTGGTAAATAACAAACTTTAGAGAATTCGGGTAATTAAGTTTCACACACCCCCCCCCCCCACACACACATATATATATATATATATAGCTGCCTACTCAAGCGTTAAATTTAAAATAACCGACGGATATATAATATATGTATAATCTATATATAGTATGTGTATAAGCATATATAGTTATTGTATAATTTACATATACTAGCTAAAAAAATGAGAAAATCTCACTTTATACCCATTGATTTCAAACTATTTACCCTTTAATGCCCATGCCCAAATATTTTACTACTCCTACCCATGGCCCCAAACTATTTACCCGCACTTCTTCTTCCTCATTTTACCCACGTAAAATCTACCCACTTCAACTGATTCTAACTCAACACCTTCTTCTTTTTCTTCAATTTCCTCTTCTTCTTCGGCTGACAATGCAACTTCTTCTTCGTCATCATCTTGGACAACCTCAACTCCATCAGACACAGAAGCACAAGTGCTCAAAAAGATTTGAAGAGCGATAAAGAGAAGAAATGGGAAAATGGGCTTTGAGTTTTGTTGATTTTATCTTGAAGTTGAAGTGAGTATTATAAGTACTTAAGGAAAGATGATCTACTGAGAATTTAGGCTTTGAGTGAAGAGATACAGTGAAGAAGTAGAAGAAGTAGATGCTGTAGCAGCAACAGTGAAGCAAGAACCTGACATTTTTTGTACCGAAGAACTAGTTCGGGGTGATGCTTCCATGGTCCTACCATTGTTGGGCTTGAAGCTCAATTTTATTTTTGAAGATTTCTTGTTTGATTCAAAGTGGGTGCTGTTAAATATTGCTTATAGTACCTTCTGGAATTTCATACTGAAATTTTGATAGCGTTTGGAGCTGATTTAGGTGATTGAGATCGAAATTTTCAGTTGAAAATCGAAGAAGAACACAGCTACTATATACCGCTACGGTATACAATATGCTGTAGGAGTATATAGCTATACTGCAACACTATACTATTATAGTTTACAAAATAGTATACCGCTACAGTATACTAATATACTATAGGAGTATATAGTTATACTGCAACAATATACTATTATAGTTACAATATATTGTTATGGTATACTGTAATAATATGCAAGATACTGTAACAATATGATGCAATAGTATACAATATACTATAATAGTATACTTATTACCCGTAAATTCACTTGTCTTTTCCCTTTTAATTTGTTTTAAGCTTTTACCCAAGCGTGAGGGGCAAACTGAAAATGCAAAAAAAAAAATTATAGTATGCTATATGATGTAATGGTATACTCTTACAATTAGGTCCTTTTAGAATTTTAATTTTTTTGACAACTGATATTATTTCAGTTTAATAATTGATTAAATTTTTTTTAACTCTTTGCGTACAATTGTATAACCTGTTGGTATAGCTATATACTATACCGGTATCATATGTTAGTTAATTTTTTTTTGGTTGTATTAACTACATTTAATTGGTACACAATTTGATTTTTCTTTAGTAATAATTATAAAGAAAATAATAATAAAAAATAGTAAAAACACTAAATGAAATTAGATTATGAAGAGAAAAAGAATATAAAAAAGCAGAAGTTAAATAAATTAGAAAAGAAAAAAAGAAAAAAAATAAGAAAGAAAACGAGAAAAAAAAGGAGAAAAGAAAAAAAAAGAAACATAGAAATAAAAAAGAATTGGAGAATAAAGAAAAAATTCCCCCAACAAAATCTACTATGGGTAGAAAATGTAATTAGTTTATGGTAGAAAAATAAATGGATAGACAAGAATAAATAGTTTTTGTTTTTGTGGTAACTGTGTCAAAACCCCTAAAAAATTAAACTGTAAATTCTACCGGCTATTTGGGTAAAGATCCCTTGCTTAGAAGGACTTAAGCCCAATGGGTTTCACTTAGAGACCCAAAATTCCTCTAGAACTGACCATACGCGGACCCAAATTTCGACACCGGATATCAAATTACACCCTCAGCGGCGAGCTCCTCCGGTCAAATCCTTACCGGCGATAGCAGATGTAAGTTCTCTCCCTTTCCCTCTATGTTTCATAAGTCCAAAAAAAAGCCTTAATTCCCTTTCTCTAATGCTTTGTTTTCTACCCTCTTCGTTTACAGAAAGTGTATTTGACTTCTGAGATAATATTTCAGATAATATATATAAATTAGTATAGAAATAGTGTATAATGGTTAAACTGTGTACTTAATGAATCAGGATAGAAATATTATCAAATGATTAAGCCTTGTAGCAAAGACATTGAATTAACGGTCGTCTGGTTCACATACTCATTATACATCAACAACAGAACAAACTCAGTTTAATCGGAGAGGGTAGTGTGTATGCATACCTTACTCCTAACTTGTGAAAGGTAGAGAGACTGTTTCGGATACACCTTAAGCATAGTCTCAGTAGTGTTGGTTCACATACTCAGTTATGCGGGGTTATAATGCAGGGATTCTTTAGGCGGATTAATAATGAAAGAATTGTAAGCAGTGATTAATAACGAGGAGATTGTTATACATGAATTATTTATTTTAAAGGGCATTTTTATCTTTAAATTGTTTAATCACCGCTTTACTAATACATGAATTCATATTCCACGTTCTATCACGCATAAAATAAGACATAGATTTTCGCATAACTTAATGCATGTATTATTTGATACCGCCAAACCAAACGCGGGATTTGTTATGCGGTGATATTTTTTCTTACATGGCCAACCAAACACTGTATTATCTTATGTGGGATTTTATGCTAGGATTACTTATTCCAAACCATCTGCAAAATGACCCCTAAGTAGTCATTTTGGTGGTCCAATTTCATAATTTTGACCTTTGAATTATCTTGATACAACAAACGGTATAATATAATACTAATGTCATTTGTCAAGGTAGTAGTTATAACCTGTCTTATTTTTTCAGATTGTGTGTGTTCATGTTGCTTGTCCTGTTATTGCAGCACAGACTAGGTGCTTGTTCTTGCTACAATGCCTTGCAAATGAGTAGCTGAAGAAAGTCAGCTTTTTATTGTGATGTAAATACGTGTAATTCTTGGAATAGATGGATTCTACATCGAAGCACTCTCCCTTTTGCTTAAAATGGCCATGGGATGTCCATAACCAAAACCCTAAAACCCATCTGCCTTTGTACCTTTGAAACACCCTGGTTATTCAAACCATTCAAGAATATTGGCTCTGGAGTGTTTAATTTTCATCCAAAATATATCAAAACCCCAACCTTTATCATCCAAATTCCATTTCCAGTCGAATGGTGGAGTTGGCCAAAACACTACCTTGAAGTTGATGAAGAAGAAATTGACTCCTGCAGACCAAGCGGAGGCCGAGCAGAGTGCGTTAGCATCTGCCTTGGCCAGTGGAAAGGAGGGTACTGTAATTGAATTTTACTCCCCCAAGTGCCGGCTCTGCAATTCTTTGGTTAATTTCGTGAACGAGGTTGAGAACAGGAACACTGACTGGCTCAACATTGTTATGGTTGATGCAGAGAATGACCAATGGTTGCCTGAGGTACTCTTAAGTCTTAATACTCTATGCATTGTATTCTTCTGCAAGTCTGTTTATATATATATTGTTGTTGGACGGATGTGTATTAGATTTTGCATACTCTAAGAATTGAGAGGGGCCTCGTTCTTTTGTTGCTTGGTTGTTGATATGGTTCTTTTTCTTCTTTCTGTATTGAAAGGTTATTTATGGCGATACTTGATGATCTTGGAATAGTGTTGTTAATTCAAAACTAGATATGTGTTGAATGCACTCAGTACTGAGTATTGGACTCTTTTCCTATGTTAAGTTACCTTCATGAATCAATTGATCAGGATTTTAGTGCAATCTGGGCATTGCATTGGTCTGATAAATTGTTTAAGACAACATATCTTTTCAATGTGTTACGAAAAACTGCAAGATATTGTCAGCAAAGAATTGAAATTAAATGGTCATCCTTCAATTGGCAAGGTAATAGGCAGAAGACTTTTAACAGATTAGGCTTTATGCTTCAAGTTCGCTAGATCTCTGTCTTTTGAAGTTTTTTCAGTGTAACAGCTTATAGCATTCATTCTAAGTGGAGCTTAAAAGCATTACAAAGTCCTTTGCAGCTTCTATTGTTGTTGAGATTGGTTACTCTGTGGCGACTGCTTAATATATTGAAAGTCACTCTGTGGTGAATAGCTAAGTCTCTGTGGTGATAGCTAAGTTTAAGTACACTTTAAAAAAATCTCTCTTAA